TGAATTGATCATAGTTCAATTAACCTCCAAAATGAATTTTAAAACCAAATAAAGAAGAACTAACTTTTGCAAAATGAGCAGTTTTTAGAAAATGGCAGATACATTTTACTTTGGGTCAGCTTTTATTTCTGAATAAGCTTTTATTTCTGAATAAGCCAAGACACAAGACGTGATAACAACTGCCATGCATTATAGAGATAAAAGCCAGTTATGTGAGGCAGTGCAGCAACCCTTGTAATATACCACAGTTACTCAGACAAAGATTAAAATGTCAATCTCAATTAAACTGAGCTCATTAATTTCCATTAAATATGCCTATTCCTTTCTCTACAAGAATAAGTTATAAATTTCATTTATTCCAAGAGGTTTTTCAGACCAAGGAAGATGACCAGATTTAAATTAGACCATGAACACAATTGGAGGCACTAAAGAACCAAGCAAAATCTACAAATATCTCCTTTCCCTTCTAAGGAACAAATGAGACATGTCCTAAACTTATCTTTTGGAGATCACCCATAAATTGAAAGTACCACTTTAAAATTACTTCTATGAGCACTAAATTACGACATAATTTCAAACAAACAGACCAAATTTATATAAGGACCTTTGGAGGTAGTTCTAGATGTTGGTCACAGTTTTAGTTGGAGGCTTACATTCCCATCAGTATTGCCAAGTTTTCCCATGAAAAAACCATGAAAATAAACATGCCATGAAAGTGGCATGTTTATTATTTCACAGAAAACTAAACCAATAAGCTAAAAGCATAAATAATAATTTAAAAAAACATTTAAATTATTTTTTCTGATTTATTTAAAAAAAACAACTTTGTCTTCTCAACTTACTGTATTCGATTTCTCAAAAATTATGTTCATCTTTTCTGCTAATGAATATATATTTTAAAGGAAATATACAGTTTGAAGCTAAGAAGTTATATATGGTGATGCACAGTTGGGGAAATCCTAAAGAAAAATCTCCTGCTCTTTTCTAATGTGTAGTAACAAATGATACCACTTATGTGAAGCCAGTTTCATCTAGTCTTAGGAAGAAAGAGAACAGTATACCAAAATTGGGTGAAGTATCTCACTGTGTTTACTTATATCTCACCCATTAATTACATTTCTAAACTAGCACTTCTTAAAGAAATATATGAAAGCTTGAATGATTTTGTTGCATTCCACAGTGTTTAACAAATTCATAGATTGATGAAGCGTAATTAATGCAAAACACTGTATAATAAAAATAAGCTAGGTACTTCACACCATGCAAAAGGGTGTGACAAATTCTCATTTGGCATAGACAAAAGCTTTGGTAGGGCAACAAAAAAACCCATATTCTTCATTAGATAGGTATTTCATTGGAAGAGAAATGAGCAGTGTACGTGCAATGGTATCTTCACAGAAATTGCCATTCATGGGTGTCAGTACTGCAACAAAATCCCACGAGCCTGTTTGTGAGAACCATTACACAGGTGGAAACTTAAAAAGTTATTCTTTCAAAAACAATTCTTTGTTCATTTGTAACCAGATATCCCATGACCTTTGTAGAGATAAGCCTTAAGCTTGAGCTAGCATCAAAATTTCAATTTAGACAACTCTATCAAGCCTGCAGTTTAAATGCATCCTCTCCTATCCTAAACTGGCATATGGCATATGTGAGATTTTTACATGTTTTATATGTTGCTTCAGATTGCTGTGCTTCGGGAGCAAGTGAGGTCTCATTCTTGTAGTTTTTAAAGGTTCAGCTATATTAGAAAGCTTTGTGCTTCAACCATATCCAGTCTGCTTACAGCTGCAACAGCACTGCTCTTGTCTGCTACCATTTCATCTCCTCAACACACATGGATATTACCAGACTAAGATAATTATGATTATTGTATAAATTAGATGAGTTTGGAAACTAGAATGTGGTATCACAGAACCATAGTACTACCTATGTCACATTTCATAGAAAAACCCTATCGCAATGACAACAGTATCAATAATTTCACAAGTACACATCAGAATGGATTCTTCGAACATAACATCTGACAGTATTTGTTCATACACCTTCTGCAAACGAAGGATATTGCTCAGATTACATAGCATTTCATATTCGCTCCAACCCAAAATGAGTTCTGCTAATAATAAAAATAAACATTGTTTAAACCAGCTATGCAAGACAAAAGAAGCATTTCACAAAAGAAGCATTCACAAAAATAATTTAAACCAATAAATCTTTAGCTCACCTGGTGCAGGTTTTCACTTTTCCAAATGGTAATTATTTAAAACAGAACTTGAAGAAACAGGAAAATTAAAAAGAAAAGGCCCATGCCACATAAAATTCAAACCATGCTAAAAAGTGGGAGTGTCTTCAAAAAACAATGTTTTTATTCAGGCTGTCCTAGTACTGGTACTATAGCCCCAGGCTCAAAATAAACTGACCTTCAATCTGGGCATTCTTGCCTTATAGTCCATCATGCTTCCAGAGTTCAAAACAGCAAAGTAAAAGATGATTTTAGAAAAGATAAACACTTAAGGCTAATTTAACGTGATGCTAAGAAAGAATTAAAACAAAACAAACACCAAATACCACACCATTCCATTTCAGTTTTTACCCAGATGCTGCAAACCTGAAATATGTAAGCAGTTGGAGCTGCACTAACAACGCTTATATATCTGGAGAGTAAGAGCTACTAGCTTTTCCTCTTTAGGTTTTTTATATGAATATCAGGAAAAAATTTTCAGTCCAACATAATAAATTTAATTGGACCCTCTTTCTATAGAGGTGAATTAATTAATTTCTATTGACTCTTAACAGAGGAAGAATTCAGCACATATTTCCCTCAAGTGTGCTTCCGGGAAAGGACTGGGCACAACATTTGTATCAATTCCAGCTTCATTCATCTCAATTAAGCACCTGATGATGAAAACGATGTTCTACTTCTTACAGATCTATACTGGCACCCCAGAAAAGGCTATTCAGTATCCCAAGTGACAAATTGGTATCATTAGGAGCTTCATATGATTATTTTATGACTCTTGTACCACAGATTAGTATTTCTACTTGGCTGTTACCTCTGAAGCAGAGCAGCATACCAAATGTGAAATGCAATTGCAGGCACCTTCAGCTAAACACAAATCAAAAATCAGAGTTCAGAAGAGGCATATCAGTAGTTACAACTTCTATTTTTACAGTGGGTAATAAAAGACAACATCCTGAAAAAATTCGAGGATGTAAACAAAAGGATATATTTATAGCACTTAAAGAATGATTTTGGCAAGACCAGAGTTTTTCTAGACTCAATGTACAAAGCATCTGGAAGAGACCAAAAACCAGATGAAGATGAGGAAAAACACAACAGTTACAGGTTTTACTCAAATGGTTTCTCCATTAGTTGATTCCCACCACAGAAGCAACAGAGACTTTGAATGGATGACTGAGGGCTTCCAGCTCCTCAGTCTTCTCAGACAAGTCTTCTTTCCCTCCTGTTACCTCAAGAAAATGCTAAAAGTGTTTTGCAATCATGTAAAATCATGCATCTGTAAGAAGCAATGAGGCTACAGTAAAGTCTTACAAAAGCAGCTTATAACTCCAAAACTGAACTTAAACTTGAAAGCTGTTTCAGTTTACTTTTCAACTCTTTGTTTCACCCATGAAAGTTTCCACTTGTTGCTTAAAATAGCAGAAGGAACATTTTTGTTTACTTCCATAGAAGAACAAAATCCCTGCAATATCAAGGCAATGAAGAATATATGTACGTGAGAGAGTGGAACAGCTTTTGTGGCCAAATTAGTCAAGCACTTTGTATATGGAATTAAGTATAGCAGGGAGAGCTTCCTGTTGTTCATTTTTTGCCTACTGATAGGAAGGTATTAGTGAATGCAATTTTCATATCCTTGCAAACATTTACATAAAAAGAATAGCACAATTATCTAAGAAATGTAGTTACTGTACCTATACTAACCTCTAAGCATGCATATGTGCCCAGACAACTTAGCTGTGACTCATTCCATCATTTTAAATGTAACTATGCAGGACTGTGTGAAAAGAGCTCTTTTCTACTCCCACTTGCTCATCACTGCAAGAAAGTTATCATCTGGTCCTACGAGCAAAAAAATCTCTCACATAACTCTATGTGATGACAAGAAGAGAATTTTGACCTTCTGAAGACATATTACATCTTCTGTGCATGAAATTAAAACTGAAGAGCAGTTACCATCTATGGAAGGTCCTGCCAGCTTCTGCAATATGAACGAGAATTAGAGGCTGTAGAACTGTGCTTACATACACATACACTTATGTATTTAGTCATTGCTCCCGAGAGAAGCTGCCAGTGAACAACTCCCAAGAGTATAACACACGATTACACATGAAGGGATTTGCACTGTTGCTTTGGGGTTTTTTTAATATTTTTTGCTGTGAATTTTGTCAGCAAATAATTTGCTTTGCTTTAGGTCTTGTTATGACTCAACTTTAAACCTCTCATGTAGTTTCTTATATAAACACTCAAGAACCTCAGAAGTATAAATCTTCTGTCTTTTAAATGAAACTGTGAAGCCAACAAATTTGATTTTGCAATTGATTGGTTTTAACCCAAATTACTACTGTTCAAGATTTTTCTTAATGGCAAAACAGAGACCAAACCCAATCATCTTCTCTCAAGCAAATATTTATACTCAACCAGCAAGGAAAGGGCATGTAAACACAGACTTCAGTTTGAAAGAAAAGCTCATGTGCATAGTTTACAATTGTCGCTCAGGCCAAACAGTATCCTCAGAGGCAGTGTGGAATTGAACCCGTGGGTTTAAGCATACATTACTGACTTCCCAAGAACACACTTAAGTTTGAGACTCTACTGTTCTCCTTGGCAGGAGAAGGCTTTGAATGATGAACAAGAACAATGTACACAGAGACTGTCAGTCTCAGCTGCACTCCTGTCCTTGCTTCACAGACGACTCACCTAGTCCTGAGGTAGCTCCATTTTATAGCTTTGAGGCAAAGCAGTGGTAACTTCAGTTTACCTGAAAACCCAGGACAAAGCATGACTCTTGGAAGGTTGTTCAGTGGCCTGCATAGTGACAGCAGGGGATGCAGCTACAGGACAGCCATCTCCCAAGTCATTCACATGCAACTCTTCCCTTCAGGAGACACAGGCACTGGCCTTGCTGTTGAAGCAACATGATGTGATATGAAATATACGGAGAAAGAAAACATCTGACTTGCAATTAAGACAGAAAGAGGGATGTTTGCTAAGAAACACAGAGGACAGTGACAGTTGGAGTTCTTGTTCAGGTATATGCTAGCTGGTTACAAAAAGTATAACCATGATCTCCAAGCAGTGGTAACCAGAGGAGTTGTATGTTTGGGGCAATCTCTAGGGAAATGACCATAACATGTTCAAAACTCCGTAGAACAAAGCATGTGATGCTACTTTGTATGGCAAATGAGTGATCTATCCTAAGCTAATGATTCCCCCTTCTTATCCAGGGATGAGTTTTATGGATGTGAAGGCATTGAACTAGACTGCTTCTAAGCATTCTTGGTCCAAAGTCTTCTCCTGAGAATACATTTGTCTGCCTGATCAACTTGTATCTTGACCTGCAAAGACATTCCACTCAGCTCTTGGACTAAAGAGCAAATCTACCCAATCCAAAGAAATTTTTTCACTTTACTTGCTGAGAAAGCAAAACAGCTAATTATCTTTTCTGTTTCCTTTTCAGTATTCAACCTGACTGCTTTCCACAGTTAAAAGTAATCTCATAGCATGAACTATTTCATTTACCCCAAAAGGGGATTAGGACTTCTTGGAAACATTTTCAAAATAAACAGTTTCCTTACCATGCTTAAACAATGATTATTTAAGCCATGGAGTCAAAATGACTCAGAGGAGTTGTACTTGTCATTGTACAATTTTCAGCATGATCTACAATATGACCAGGCACCAGTGACCTGTATTAATCATGGGCTAAAGTATCATTAAGGTAAAATTAATGTACTGCAATGCTCTGGCAATTGCTGTTCATGTTCCCACCCTTTCTGCTGGCTTGCCAGACTACTGCACTTCTGGTGGAGAAGTGGTCTGCAACTGAGGCCGAGCACAGGAATTCATTTTGCACAGAGCAGACATGTAAACGGACAAAAAAAATGGAATCAATTTGTATGAGCATACAGAGGAATTCTTTCCATCCTGATTATGGCAAGAGCTATTGGGTAGAAGAGCACTGCTAAAACTACCTAATTAAAAATTGCCTGTCAATATGATCAACAGGAGCTAGAAAATTACCTGCTAATGTACTGTCCCTGACTGTAAGGGAGAAAACATTTCACTTCTGACCTGGTATGTGATTTAAAATACCATGTCATTGTATTAAAAAAAAAAAAAGTCTATAATCCTGTAGCATCGACCCTAATTCTGCTTTTCTTCCCCTGTACAAGAGCTTCCAAATGCCTTAGTCCACAAGCACCAATACTCACTCATTTTTTCTTCAACATACAAGATTAGCTTCTCTCCTGTGACATGCTTACGGTTCTGCTTGCAGTTCACATTAATGGTGAAACATCTGCTATACTGCGACATAGAAGTATTGACTTAAATTTGTCACTGAAGGATTTTTCAGCAACCCAACTTGTGGAAATATTTGACTACTACAGCCTTACAGTTTAGCGAGAAATATAAGGCAGCCTCAGAAATAACAAACAGTTTCAAGAAAGAAGCTTTTAACAGATGGCTGGGAATCTGGAAACCCATTTCCAAACTATTTCCTCTAGCTGAAGACCCAGAAAAAAAACCACCATCATGTGATCCACCTCACAGTCAAAGTCCTGTGGAATTAACTGCAACAGAATATTGAAAACTTTTGGGTGGAGGGGAGTTTTTTGTTGAAGCAGATAAGCAGCTCCATTTTTCAAGGGATAAAAAATGAAATCCTTTGCATAAATGATTCATTAGTAACAAGCAGTTTACAAACTCACAAGCATCTTGAGATGCAGCTGCATCTCACCATGATAGAGTCATGTTAAGATTACATACAAAGACTTCCAGGAGCCAAATCTTGACATTTCCCCCTCACTGAGAGGTGCCTGTGCAAATGCTTGTACGTGTCCAAGTCAGGAACACATGCTAGTGAACTATTTCAACACCACCTGCCATTATCTCATGCCTGCAATTGCCTCCAGGCTCCCAGTACCTCATTATCAGACAACTTGCACTGTCCTATGGAAATGGAAAATACCTATCTAGATTTTCAAGGCATAATGGTAATGACAAAGTTTGAAAGCACTGCACTTCAGATCTATGAATGACAGAAAGTTAAACTTCCACAATTCCTCCCCACTGACTAGAGTCATTGTAAACTTTAAACTCTCCTGGGTGGCCAGCCTACCTCTACAGTCAGATAACTGTCCTCATCTCCTTTCTCTGAATTTTAACTAAATAGAGAGGATTAACAGGAACAGCGAAGGGGAAATCCCATAGCACTAACTCAGTGAAAATTAGACAGTATCATGTCCATCTGCCATCTAAACTTAAGAGTTTAAAAGTTTCCTGAGTAGTAATATAGCTGTTGTGGAACTAAGACATGCCTAAGGTAAGTTCCCTTGACTGTAGCTAGTTGACTAATTTTTAGGCTTTCTCAGAAGAGAAACCAAATTCCTCAGTCCAGAGTTATTTCTTTCAGGTTTTTTTTATTAAAGGTTATGCAATAAAGTCACTTTTGTTGCATCCAAAGTTTTGCACATTTCAGCTCAACTCTCATTACAACAATTTCAAGCAACTCCTAAAATAAAGAATTGGTGGTCAAAGCTTCTAAATATTAACAGGGGAATTCACAATTCACTAATTATACACTTGCTTTTCCAATATGAACACTGCAATACTAACACTCAGCTGACATTTGCAGTAACTTTCATATCAGAAAGATCAACAAACACAAACAATAAGAAGGAACCAGAAGTATATAACACTAAGGGTGTGCAAAAGTAAAATAAAGAAGCTGGTACACGGTCTGCTTAGATAGTGCCTTTTTCTTCAAGAGGCCTAAAGAGCTTCAGCTGTAGTTATTTAAAATTCTTGTGGGTGGCAGAAGCTGAGTGAACATTGTAGGTATTCTGTGCAAAGCTGAAGATGACTTTAGAGGAGCTACAAATTGACATAAGTAAATGTGAGCTAATGGAATATGGCTAATTTATAGCCAACCTGATGCTAACCCACATTTCTTTACATTAAGCTCCTTGAGATAAAATATCACAATACACTTCTACAGCTGTTTGCACACCATATTTACAGTTACAAAAGGAAAACTAGCCTTTCATTCAAAAATACTGTGCACATTCAACTTTATATCTTCTGGTGTCAGTATGGACTCCTGAACATGACTTCCTTATTTCAATGACCTTTTCTTTGCCTATATCAGAAATTTTTGTTAACTTGGTATGACCATTAATTTAGGTAAAGTTCAGCTGGCTAGCAAACTCCAAGTTAAAGCTGTTGAAGACTGCTAACTGATAAGTCACTAGCTACTCATCTTTTTGTTCTATGGATTAGTCAGTTTCTCAGTCAGCTCTCTCAGCTCTGTCCAAATATTGCTGGAAAGATAAAATGCCAAAACACCACAAATCAATCATTAGTCCTATTACTATTACAGCAGTACTATATCAAGGACCTTTCCCTCTTACAGGCCAGTTCAGAATATGACATTCTTACCTTCACATACACAATACAATTCAGGTTCATTCTGTAGAACCTCAGCTCTATTCCATGGGTGCCATTTCACTCAAGTTTCTCCAATAATTCATGTTTTACCCACACAAGATCTATTAACAAGCATAATCAAAACAAAAACTTCCTACCCAAACCCATGAATGACAACCTCTATTCTTATAATTTTGTGCATAATTACCTATTTAGAATATTTATTCCAGTTCCATGATTCTCACAAATAAAAGTCCTAATATATACACAGATCACTTCATCAGAACTGAACTTGTAAATAAAATACACATAACCAAAAATATTTGGAAAAATTATATACAGCTAACCAGCAGAGGGGTGCAAAAAGGACACTGGAAATTCAGGAGGGAAATTATAATCTTCAAATGAAAGGCTCTGGTCTGGTTGTTACTCCAAACTAGGATCAGAGGAAGAATATTTCTTAAGCTTATCTTCACATGAAAATAGCTACACATATTATAGCTTTAATCTCATTTAAATTAATATAATGTAACTGCTGCAAATAGTTTGGGGATATTTATTTCAATTTATTTTGCTTAAGTTGATTAGGACAGGCCTTGAAGTATGTTTTGCACACGTACACTCCACACACATCATTGGGTAAAACAAGACCAAGTGGCCACATATTTCTAGAATTCACATTTCTGTTTCAATTTACTAGGAGAGGGTAATATCTCTGGCAGAAAAAAAAAATGGAAGGATTTTTGAGTTTTCCAGTTTTCATGGTTTAAAAATGTTGTAAACAAAACACACAAGTAAAACTCAGCAGAAAAAGCCCCACGCTTTTCACTGTCTGAGCTTAAAAAAAAGTAAAAGAAAGTGAAAGACAGGCTGAAGTGAAACTTCAATTTGTCCAAATCCAAAACAAAAAGAAACCCAACCTGTAGCTTAACAGTACTAGGTGTCACCCCACATCTTTAAGACAGAAACACAGCCAGATGGTGTATCCATACATCTATCAAATGTAGAACACTTCTATAGTGTTTCCTCTATGTTGTAGCTTTTAGATATAACCTCCTGCATGAGCTATCCAAACATGTTAAGTGAACATTTTCTGCATCTATTCATTGCTCTTAATCATTAATAATCCAGGACACTTGGCATCAAAGACTGGGGGAGGGGGAGAGGGGAGGGTGAAGGGAGATATCAGACCTCCAGTTTTCTAGTATATACATCCAGGCCCAAGTATACCTTATCATCTTAACCATTAGAATTCTCAAATTTCTAACAGAAATGTTTCTTTTTAGGACTTCTGCCAAAAACAGTAAGGTAATTATCTTACATTCCCTAAACTGACGATACTAACCTGTAAGTGGCCATGAATTAGGTGCAGGACTTTCCACAATCCATGCAGAAATTAAATTAATAATT